TTACCCCTATCCCGAAAATCCCTTATCTTCTCGTAAATCCACGAAGACGAGCCAGCCCTCCAGACCAGTGTGACCAGTATTCCTTGCAGCCGCTCGCAGGGTTAGCATCCCTTGAGGATCTATTGTGTATTACATTTAGTGACAGCGTTTTCCTTACCTTCACATAACGCTCCCATTCCTATTATTTTACACTTGTACAGACGAAGGTTAGACCAAAAACTGGAGGAGTTTGGTTTTGAGAACATAGACGAAACATATGAACATATAAAATCCTGCATAAAGGAAGCAGCAGCGGAAGCCTTAGGTTGCGAAGAGAGAAGAACAAATGGATATCGACAACGTCTATCAAAAAGGACTGAAGAATGTATTAAGCAGAAGAAACAGTTACATCATAAATGGTTAAGCTCAAAAGAACAAGTGGACCTAGAAAGATACAGAGAGAAGAACAGAGAGATAAAAAGATTAATATCAAAAGATAAAAATGACAACTAAAAATCAATATGTATAATCATCGAACAATACATAGGAGGTACAAAGAACTCAGAATCCTGGAAAGTGATAGAGAGTTTGAAAGAAAACACACAGGAAAAAACACATTTTACTTTCATAAGCGAAAAACAATGGAATGATTACTACCAAGAACTCCTGACAGAACAGCGAACAAAATTCATGGAAAAAGAACAACAAACAACAAATACAAAGGAACAACTAAATTTATCATTGGAAGAAGTAAAAAAGAACATAAAACAAATAAAAAATAATAAGTCTGCAGGCCCCGGAGGGATAGCACCCGAGCTAATTAAATACGGCTCTGAAAAAATGTTCCGTATGACACATACCATGTTTCAGAGAGCCTTGGACACCGAACAACAACCTGAAGAATGGTCGGCAGCCCATATAGAAAAGTTCCCAAAGAAAATTTTTCTTTCAGGATTGGATACTTTCATACGACTAGTGAGAATAGAAGCGGCAAAAGGCGATTAAAAAACGGATCCGATATTTGACAAGTGGGAACGAGCTCTTAGAAATAAGACCGACACAGTCACAATGCAAAGGCTACTTGAAACGATATGAGGCTACTTGAAGATGAGTACTGAGAAGAATTACAAGAAATACGCTGAGATATTGAAAGATAATTGAAAACATTAAAATAAAATGTAACGTAATGGACACAAAATAGAAAAAATAATTTAATAACCACATAAGCAGAATTGAGAAGCCCCGTTTCGTCAAAATAGCGAGAAATAAGTCACGAATCGGCAAAAGAAGTATCGGATGACTGCGCAAAAAAAGGAGTAACAACCTTCCATAGAGGTATTAATCCACCAATGAACAAGCAGAATTGCGTATAATGAGGAAGGAGAAGAAGAAGTGTTGAGATGTGACGTATTATTATAATTTCTATTTAGGTATGACAGTTGGATGTATAAACCATTGAGTGGAAAGTTTTTGGTTAAAAACCATTATTAATAGGGTTAAATATTTTATTCTGTAGATAATCCCGTAAGTCAAATCCTTGAGCCCCTTTGGGATTGATATCATTTTTGATTACTTTGGTTGCCTCTTTAAGAGTAGTAGGCTTTATTATTCCTTGACCAGTATTCTTCACATGTTATTTATTACTCTTATCATATCGGTTTTGGCTTGATAAATATATTTCATTTCGTGATTTTGGAATACATTTCTATGAAGCGAACAGATTTGCTTTTGTTTTCCGTCAGGTGCCCATGTTCCATTTTCTTGTATAATCGGCGAAATCTGTTGCGTTGGTATATTTAGTAATTATGTACAACACCTTTACGACACAATTTCCACAACAAGAAGTCAATAGTTTGGTCATGTATCTGATCGTTTAGGGTAATTGATTCATTTTTCATTATTTCTATTACTATTTTTACCTGCTGGATGAGGTTATTTGATACATTTTTATTTTCTGCAGTATTGTTTTCTGAGTCATGTTTTCCTGAGTTTTCTTTTTCTTTGCACCAGTTCTGGAATTTCGTTCGGATAATTTTGACCTTTGGTTTTTCTTATAATTTGTTTGGTAGGGGAACGACGGGTAATTACGAACACTTAAGGAAAATAATTGTTTATTTGAAATATAAAAATGTTGAAAACTCGGAAATCACTACAGAGTGGCTAACAGTAATACAGCTATTAATTTTTTTTATTGGATAATCAAAAATAAAAATTTTAATAATAAAAAAACTCAATTAAAAATTTTCACGAAATGTTCGCTGTTACCCGAAATGTCGGGTAATAATAAACATGAGAGGGTAATGGCGAACAGTATTACCTATTAACAAAAATCACATTTATAGTTGTCCGGTGTGTCCGAGCCGCTGCATAATTTATGCACCCATCCACCACATATAATGCAACGGAACCAAAGTTCGCTTTTCCCGAACTCACCACAAATTAACCAAGATTCTCCTTCATTACAATCGTCGGTATTAATATCGTCGTTGTCATCAGATTCATCATCTTTATGTGATGTCGAATCTTCCTCTTCGCTTGAAGATTGTAGTACTTTTCTCTTTGCAGTTTTCTTTTTTTAAAATTTTTGTTTTTCAATTTCTTTTTCCATTATTTGTTTCCTTCTAAGCTCCTTTTGTTCGAGTCATATGCTCGCTTCAATGATGAGAAAAAGCTAACGTCTAGTGGTTGCAGACGATGAGAGGTATGTGGAGGTATTGACAGCATAATGATACCATTTTCTTTGCAAGAAATTATAAATTGCAATAGAGCAATGACTGGAGTGTTTGTCCAACAACAGTAAAATGGGATCATCTCTTGTATGTTTATTGGTTTTCGCAAAATGTTGAATCCAAAACAGGAACACTTCTTCGTTCATCCAACTGCTTTTTGAACAGACGTACAAAGAACCTGGAGGCCCATCTTTTTCTAAAGCAGGATTTCTTCTCAGTCTTGGATAAATGAATAGTGGAGGTGTAAAAGATCCGCTGGCACTCATACAATAGCATACCGTCACGTTCTTGCCTCTTTCTTCACTTGTAACGGCTCCAATTTGTTTTTGGCCTCTAGGTCCAATGATCCGATTAGGCCTATTTACGTTTGTAATGCCAGTCTCATCGACATTAAATATTCGAGTAGGTGGAAACTTGTATTCATCGTACAGCTTACCCAAATTGTCATAAAACCTTGAGACATGATCCTTATTGAAACCTTGAATGCGATTAAGACTTGTTGCTTCAGGTTTACGGAAACTTAACTCAGGATGCCTTGACATGAATCCATATAACCAGTCTTTACCTGCTTCTTGTTTTTCTCCGTTGAAACTATGTTTTAAGTTTAATTTCTCTGCATAGGCGAAGGCCTCTTTTCGCAACTGAATTGGGGTTAATCCATAAAATATTTTAGATAACGTTAGTAAATGACGACTCATTTCTTCTTCCTGTTCATTTGAAAGAGAGTGTTTGCACCCAGCCTGCCTTTGTAAAAGCCTCTAGAGACTCTGTTTTGTAATGTTGTAACAGGTATATTAAATTGGTGTGCAGCTTCCCTTAGGCCATAACGTCTTTCTTCAATTGCCTTTAGAGCAGCTTTCATTTGATTATCAGTCCATGAAAATTTGTTGGTACTTCGTTTCCGTTTAAAAGGCATCAAAAGAGTAAATGCGAACACTTGACGGGTAATCACGAACAGATCGCGAACATCTGTTCGTGATTACCCGATTTGGAAATGAATATGAAGAAATGAAACAATCATAATATAAATCTATTTAACTTCTCCGTAATAGGACAATTTTATAGGTTAAATAATAGTAAGTTAACTAACTCTAACAATTGAAATGAAACCATCAAGTGTACATACCTTATTTTTTGAATTGCTAAAATTGTAGTGCAAGCACCAAAAACAAATGAATCGCTGTAAAAAATTCCACAAATACGGGGCAATTGTGTATCTATGTTGTGTATGAAGTTTACAACGGAATGATACAGATGACGTACGCATGTATTCTGTGATGTTCGCAATCACCCAATATTCGCCCATTCCTCTAATGTTCCATGCATAATGTTGGTTGTTGATTTATAGTTAGTTTTTCTGCTTCTTCATAAAGTTCTGTGGTCTTGGGGAGAGATATAATAACTCCAAAATACATGTTTTTTGGTAGGGCAATTTTAACATTCGAGAAGGTTTCTTAAATCGAACGAAATAAAATAAAAAACCTCATTTATTGCAATAAATATTTTATTAAGTAATATAACAGATGTAGGGTCAGGAAAGGTATATTGGTGATAAAAATGAAAAATATTAATAATATAGGAATTCGAAAACTGAGCAAGAAATAAGTTTTGCTTTATTACGTTACTTATTATTTGAAGTAAATGTTTAGAAGAGTTAATTTAACAAAAAATGATTAATAATGATAGTAAACGTCAAATTGACATACAAGGCTTATGTTAGGTAAGTTGGTGACACGGTAAGGTATATTGGTGATAATGGTTAGGAAATTTGGTGATATTATGAAAGTAAGTTTATTTTATTCTTATATTCTTATCTTTATCTCTTAACATGTATCCCAGAAATGATTGTTCCTTATTTGGAAATGCCTTTATCTCTTAACATGTATCCCAGAAATGATTGTTCCTTAAATTAAAAACACCATGGCGTGTGTCTGCAGCTTCGACCGTAAATAACATTCTATCGACGAAAGAGTTGTCAAGATTTTGCCTGTTTCGGATATCATTTGCCAATCTGCATCTTAAAGGTAAATATGCTGGAAATAGATTTTGCACAGGTGTAAAACAAACTATAAATATTTCTCATGATATATATATATATATATATATATATATATATATATATATATATATATATATATATATATATATATATATATTACTGAAATTATTGAAATATTGGTATTTTTTACATTTAAAATTTAATATCTAATAAACTATTACAACGATTGTTCCTGGTAAAATTTACATCATAACTTTATGATTAGTGTAAGATTTACAACACTGGATAAACACCTGCATTGTTAATGCTACAGATGTTATTTCCTCTTGCTATTCTTATAAATCCGTTTTCTCCCCATTCTGGACCCCATGAATTTTTGACAATAAAATACTCATCAGTATATCCTACAGCAAGAACGGCGTGATCGATTGGACCACAATTTGTATTATTATAAACACCTCCAACATAATTGTCGAACCAAAGTTTTGCCGCAACGAGAACGGATATTGGTCCAACTTTAGCTGAAACGAAAAAATAAATTTATATTTACTTAATAAGAAACACAGAGTATAATGCAAAAGTACGAAATAAATTCATTATTTCAGAAACAGATGACTCTTAATCCTTAACTGGCGACGTGCCGTCTGACAGACTACAACATAAAGAATTTTTAACACCCTGTACAAATAACTACGCCCATCGGCACATCAGTTTATCTATTGTTTATATTATTCTTTGTCTATTAGTGACCCGACTTTGGTAAAGAAATACGCATATTTGGAAAAGTTATAACTGATCAGTTTTAGTTAGTCTGTTAGACGGCACATCTCGGTTCAGGTTACATTTTGTTTCATTGAAAACGTCGCGTATTTGTTACGATCATGGCCAGTTCATCAAAAAAATCCGTTTTACCGATGCTGATTTTAAAGATGTAGCTTTTGAAGTGGTTTGACGAATTAGAGAGCGATATTAGTGATGTTGATCAAGTACAAGATGATGTTTATTTGGAATCTGATAGCCAGACGGATTCAGATATAGCTGCATCTTACGTATAACCTGGGTTGACACAATTACTAATGTGGAGGTCCTGCGTAGAATGGGGAAAGAATGTAAAATTCTCATGACCGTCAAAACTAAAAAGTTAGAATATCTAGGACATGTAATGAGAAATCAAGAACGTTACGGCCTTCTACAGCTGATCCTTTAAGAGAAGGTAAATTGTAAGAGAGGACCGGAACGAAGACGCATTTCCTGGCTTCAAAATTTACGAAAGTGGTATAACACGACTACCACTGAACTGTTCTGCGCTGCAGTAAACAAAGATAGGCACTTTAAGAAGAAGAAGATTCAAATCGAACCATGAGAATATAAAAACGCTTTTTGCAACAGATGGAACTGGCAGGGAAATTTTTAGAACTGTCATGAATCAAAAGCGTTTTTCAGTCATTTAATCAGCTCTATGTTTTGATAATCCAGATGATCTAGAAGAAAGAAAAAACATTATCCAGTAGCAGCAGTTTCTTATATATTCAATTCTTTTATTGAAAATTGTCAAAATTGTACAAAAAATTGAAAATATGATCTAGGTCAATCAGCAACTGTTGATGAAATGCTTGTCAGTTTTAGGGAAAGGCGCCGTTTTAAGTCTATATGTCTAATAACCTGATTCTAGTGTTTATAGATTTAGAGAAGAGTATACAATAGTATCTTATGTGGCCAAAAAAAAAACAAAATCACGATAAGTTCACTGCAGAGAGAAAACCAAACATTCTAAAGTCAGAGCTAGAAAAAGCAATCAAAAAGTAAAAAATAGAAAATCTCCTGGTGCAGACCAGATCACCGCAGAAGTTTAAAAAGAGACTGGAGATGTTGGAATAAATGTTATGCATATGAACTGCAAAAAATTTGGGAAACTGGAGAGTTGCCCAACGACTGGACAACATCCACTTTCATCCCTATATTTAAAAAAGGACCTCCGCTAGATTGCAGCAACTACAGAACGGTAACCGTAATATCCCATGCAAGCAAGGTTCTACTCCATGTAATACATGAAAGACTAAAAGCTTTTCTATTGCTTTAGATATCAGAAGAACAAGCAGGATTTGTCCCAGGAAGAGGCACCAGAGAACACATCCATAATGTCAGACAGCTAATCGAAAAAACTCGTGAATTCAATACTTCTACGCTTATGTGCTTTGTGGATTAAACAAATGCCTTCGATAAAGACATATGGCAGCAGGTATGGTCCATACTAGCGGAAATGGGAACACTCCACCACTTAATTCAACTAATTAGAAGTCTATATGAAAATAATAAGTGCACAGTAAAAATCTCGCCAACTCTGTTTAATATCTACAATGAATACATTATGGGAAAGGTATTAGACGGGCAGAAGTAGTGGTCAAAAAAATCAATAACTTGAGATATGCTGATGACACTTTGCTAGGATAAGATCTCCAAGCCATTGGGTAGATCAAACAATAATATTGATTAACCCAGAATTACATAAAGCCGAACAACTAGCCCAGGACAGAGAAGGATGGAGGGAAATCGTGAAAAAAACTGTAAAGGCCTGATGATGTCAACACATCCCAAAAGGGATTAGGACTAAGGAGGAGGAGGACTCCTACATTTAAGAAAGAAAATAAACATAATTAAAATATATATTGTCCAATCAGCCTGGTTCTTGTTCAGCAAGGTCATGAAATAGATTATTTCGGAAGCTATGTCTGAGTTTCTTGTTCAAGAAAATGTCATCCCTTATCAACAGCATGGCTTTATCAAAGGTCGTTCAACGATCACAAATTTACTTCATTGTCTAAATGGTTTGTTATCAGTTTTAAACAATCGGCAATGGTCTACTTAAACTTCTCCAATGCTTTCGACTGTGTTCCAAAACGTCGATTACTAGCTAAATTGGATTAATATGGTCGATGGCATCCGCGGAAAGTTAAACATTTGGATTCAAAATTTTCTATCCGACAAATATTTCAGGCTTTGTGTAGAAGAAGACTACTCTCTAGATAAGCTAGTCAAGAGTATATACCTCAAGAACCAGTACTTGGACAGCTACTTTTTTGTATCTACACTAGTGATCTTCCGTTCCTTGTATCCAGTAAGGTTTCCATTTACGCTGATGATACGAAATTATATGTGAATCAAACTATTAACCAACATGTTCTTCAACACGATATTGACGCAATATGCGAATAATCTTCAGAATATGTACTTCTGCTGAACATTGAAAAATGCATTGTTCTATATGTTGGCCAAAAAAAACCCATCACTACCATAATTTATTAATGAACATTCCTTAAACTCGGTAACCTCTCCTAACGATTTCGGACTGATAATTAATAGTGACTTCAATTGTCACATAGTGTCGGTGTGTAAACGTGCAAACAATACAGTACAAATTAGATTTTTGAATAATTAAAAAATAAAAAAGCTTATATAAAAGAAACAAAAAATCTAGAGCTTCAAATCTCTGCATTTCTCCTCTTTTTTCAAATACTAAAGAAATTGTGAAATACGAGTGGCTGTACATGAATAAAACCAAATTTTTTGATTATATAGCATTGATTTTACTATACTTACAAATCGCCGAAACTAAATCCTTTTCAGTTGGATTAACACGTTTGAATCCTGAAAGCTTGGTAATGGATTTTCGTGCATTTTTCTTACATCTATCATCTCTTCCAACGTATGGATAATCCGCTTCGGAACTGATACCCTCCTTCTGCACATATTTGAAAGCAACCACTGGATATCCACCGTTGCAACCATAATTTTCCTTATTGCAGTCGACAAGATTTTGTGGGCTTAAAGAAATTTTTTGATTTTTGTGGATTGCTACTTGTCCCTCTAGAGCTCCAATCTAAAAAATAAGAATGCAGAATTACTTTTCTATTACTCTTAAGTGATAAGGTGGTTTCCTTTTAGCACTAGACTATACAATTTTTAAAAATCTACTTTACAGAATATTCATTATCGCTTCTTCTTCACGTGCCATATCAGAGTTATCCAACGTCGGCGATTACGATTGGGAAGACTTCGCGATCTTCTGCCACATGGAATAATTGTCCTGCCTTTGATATCTCAGTCCATTCACGAATGTTTTTTGACCAAGAAACCTGTTCTTCCTACTCCTCTATGGCCTTTTATTTTGCCTTTAAGGATCAGCTGTATCGATTTCCCATTACTAAATCTCCCAGATAACACATTTTCAAATAAGCCACAATTCTTTTATCATAAACTGATAAAAAAAATTTTATTGAATTTTATGCATCACTGAATTTGTTTAAAAATATATTTCCTTCAAGGAAATTTTAGAATTTATTTAATGTGTTAAAGATTATTCTTAGCTATGTATACTATCATGATCTTTGTCTTACTCCTATTTTGCTTTAGTCCATATGTTTTTTTCTCCAAACATCTCATTATGTCTTCCATTTCTTCTGGATTTGCCCCGATTTATTAAAATGTCGTCAACATATCTCAAGTTATTGATTTTTTAACCTCCTACTGATATTCCGCCCTTCCATCCATCTAGTACCTGTCGCATAATGTGTTATATCGCTGTAGATATTAAACAGAGTTGGCGAGATTATACATCCCTGCCTGACACCTGCCTCTGTTCTGAAATGATCGGAATGGGTGTTGTTTATTTTTACTGTGCACTTATTATTTTCATATAGACTTCTAATTAGTTGAATTAAGTGGTGGGATGTTCTCATTTCCGCTAGTATGGACCATAGCTGCTGCCATTTGGCTTTATCGAAGACCTTTGTGTAATCCACAAAGCACAGAAGCATAGGAGTATTGAATTCACGAGTTTTTTTGATTAGCTGTCTAACATTAAGTATGTGTTCTCTTGTGCCTTTTCCTGGAACAAATCCTGCTTGTTCTTCTGATATCTGAGGCAATAGAAAAGCTTTTAGTCTTTCATGTATTACATGAATTAGAACCTTGCTTGCATGGTATATTAGGGTTACCGTTCTGTAGTTGCTGCAATCTAGCGGAGTTCCTTTTTTGAATATAAGGATGAAAGTGGATGTTGTCTAGTCGTTGGGCCACTCTCCGGTTTCCCAAATCTTCAACATTTCCAGTCTCTTTTAAAACCTCTGCGGTAATCTAGTGTGCGCCAGGAGAATTTCTATTTTTCAACTTTTTGATTGCTTTTTCTACCTCTGACCTTACAATGTTTGGTTCTCTCTCTGCAGTGAATTCATCGTGATTTGCATTCTGGGAGTCATCTGCATATAGACTTTGACAATATTTTCTCCATACCTCCGCAATCCCTTTCTCGTTATTTATATGTTGGTTTTGATCCATTATTGTTTGTGTGAGTGGTTTAAACTTCCTGGAATATAATATAAATATATATATATAAATAATAGATATATATAATATATCGGACTTTGTTATATAGCTTATGGGATTCATACCGGTTTGCATGTCTCTCTAGTTCTTCACATTCTTCATTTATATATTTATTTTTATCATTTTTATTGCTGTCGTT